AGCACCTTAGAGGCTTCAAGTTGGCTCCAGTAAGGGGACAAGGGGCAGGGCAACAGGGCAAAAACCTGATGGTGTGGTTTCAGGCAGTATTTTTTTGACTATCATCCCACTTCATATTTATCCACTAAGGGGGAAAGAGGGGAAAAAAAAAGGAGAAAAAAGAACTGAAGGTCTCATGCAAGCATCTTACACTTCCAAGAAGCAGAAGGGAACACAAATTTTTCAGTCAGTGATATAAAGGACTCTGAATTTAAATTTTTAATTAAAAACTATAAATCCATCTTAAGTTTCACATATTTGTGTCAACACTGATCCTAACTGCAGCCATGCTGTCAGAATATCACGAGGGGTAGTAGTGCGCCATACTTAGAGGCAGGACAAGCAAAGACAACTCAGCAGCTAGCACAACTAACACAGAAACATGGCATGCCTATCGCCAACACCTGAGGTTCCTCTGCTCCCTACTAGCTTTCTGTGAAGTTAGTGGGATTTACAGGATGTACTAGGTTAAAGTTCAGGATAAATTCAGATTAAGTTCAGATTAAAATTAAATAAGTAAACTAACTCAAAACTCGAACTACCCTTTAAAAAATACATTTAGACAGCTCACAAATCAAATAAATTGCCCTAATGCATTGCTAAGCTGCATACATGACACATCTGCTTGTATAAAATCGTAGTCTTAATTCAGAACTATCAAAAGCAAGAACACAACAAAGTTCTTGTGCAATGCATGACAGCAGCACAACTGCATTGAGTACAAAGAAAACTGGAACCTACGCTATACCTTGTCTTTTTGTAAGAGAAGAAGAAAGCTCATGTTTTAGCCCATCTTTTCTTAGTTGAAACACATCCCTGGAAGTGTGTAATTTTTCCACTTCTTAAAAAAATTTAAATGTAAGGAAACTTTTTTTTAAACCAAATCTCAAGAATTTATTTAAAGTGTTTATGTGCTTGCTTAGTATTAAAATACCCGTGTTGACTCTCAAATTAATGTTTGCTGGGGGTCTTACCCTAAACAGATTGACTCTGATGCCTACTCCTATTGAGGAAGCTCAGCTAAACCCCCTTTTTTATTAAAAAGGAAAAAGAAAAGAGACAAATTTGTAACTGTCATTTTATTTGTGTCTGAAAATCATGACAGCAGTGCCAAAGGTCTTTGTTGTATTGGGCACGTTACAAGCAGTAAACCCCGTTTATGAGAGCTGGGATTTCACATGTAGATTTTTGTACTTCATACAGGAGTGAAGTTACTGACTCCTCCCTGCTAGATTGAGTAGTATAAGGTAAAAATGCCACATAGTATGAAAAAGGAAAGCATAATGACAAAAGAAAGAACTATAACTTCTACTATAATAATTTCACTCAGTATCCAAGATTGCAGAAACACCCCTTCCCTCCAAGTTTACGGCAGCCAAAAGACATTACATGAATTAATTAGAAATTACAATGTCTTTCAAATGAAGTAGTTCACCCCAGCCACAACCTCAAAGAAAAAAAAAAATCCTGCTGGCAGTGAAATTTCTTAAAACAAAGCTGTAGAGCTTGTTGTTTGGCAGAACTAATATTTTTTGAGGCTGAAATGAGTACAGTGGAATTATGAAGACATTTCTTCCTCCATTCATAAATCTCTCCCTGAAGAACATCTCACCAAAACCAGGAAGCCACCCTCTCCTTGACAATTCAAAATTCTGAAAATAAATGGATTTGGAGGGTACTTTAAAAAACAAAAACAAAAACAAAAAACCCCAAATAACCCCAAACCCCAAACACAGACAAAAGAAAAAAGAAGCAAAATCCACATTTATCTGTTGTTTGAAGCCCAGATATCGCAACATTGAGAACAAAATCAAGACTACAAAACCAACTTTACTTATAGTGCCAGACTAAGAATGTAAAGTTTGCAACAAATATAAGTATAATTCAAGAGTTTACTCTGCAGAACAGAGAAGTTAAATTAGGTTTTAAGAATCTTCAAGTTGTTCCTAAACCTTTCAAAGAAAAGCATAAGGTGCTCAAGACTCAGAAATAAGAACCTAATTGGATTAAGAGCTCTGCTGCACACAACTGCATTTTGTTACATATTTGAGCAGCTTTTTCTTTGCTTTTATTCTCCTTCCCATACACAGGCAAAAATAAAAGCTGTAAATTGAAGTACAGCCTAATGCTGTTGGGAGAACAGTTTAAAATTGGACAAAAAGCTTTCTGTCTACACTGATGCTTGGCTGCGTCTTCATACTACAATTCAAAAAGTGCTATAGACAGCTGTATATAGACTACTATTTTTGACCATTCACACCTAGAAATAACTTTCTATTGTTGATACGTCTAAACTGAAGTCTATCTAGAACAAGTACAGTATTGTGGCAAAATTTCTCCCCCTCTAAGTTATTCCCCAAACTGGCAAAGATTAGAAAGCATTGGAAAAAAAGCATCAAGTTTGATTCGTCCATAGTTTCTTTAAAGCATTTTAAAAGAAGAAAATCCTCATCTTTAGTGTTCACCCATGAGGAAACAGCAACTCTATTTACACCAGAAAAGGAGAAAATGCACAGTTTAATCCAAATTCCAAACTCCTCCCACCTCCCATTTCTAGCATTGCAATATCAGTACATATTATGAAACAAACTTAATATCTAATTCTACAATACTTTTCCAGAAGTTACGTTCTCTTATGCAGAAGAGCAGTAGTCTGAGCTTACAGTTCATTCATTTGGACATCTGAAAACATCTTGCAATGTCTCAAAATATTCTTGTAAGTTAGGCAAGTAGACATTCATTTCACAGAATAATTTGAGAATGAAAAAGGGCATTAGGAACAAGGTAAGGTATAAGAAAAATGTATACTGCAAGGAAAGAGTCCTAACAGGAAGAGTGCAATTCCATTAAATAATACTTCTGTATTTCGGGACATAAACATTACTTTTTCCTTAGAAAGCTCAGACATTTAAATACCGACATATACCAATTTCAGATTAGGGTGGAAATAAAGCAGTCACAACCTTTGTGTGCACTGTAAGCATAAGCTAACTTTACAAGCAGTAATACATGTGTATTAACACTGAGTTTGGAAAATTACTGCGTTAGTTCTCAAAATATGAATTATGCATGTTTTCATCCAAAGCTTTAGGAGAAGCGCTCTGTTTCTGTACAAGTAGTTCAAGCGTGAACTTCTTAAGCGTTGGTACACAAAGCAGTTATCCTGGAGATATGTAAAAGTTTGTTCAAAAATTTCAGCAGAGGATTCTTTTCTAGAATTGGTAACTGCTTACATAGTTCCAATTCCTGTGGGGAACTGGATGTTCACTTCCTCAGCGGGAACAGCTTCTTATGCCGCAGTTACTTAGATATGAAGAAAATTCTTTCACGTGTTTTTCCTTATGCTTCATGTCCATCACTTCCTCAGCATCATTTTGTCATGCATCTTCCCTTTAACAACCAGGATACTGCTCCCTTGAAGCTTGCCTAAGTTTTCAAGGAGAAAAAACCTGGGGCTTAGGTATTACCTGGGTTATAATGTGTTGCCTTTACAAATCTGGCCTAAGTTCTAAATATAGGGGGGTGGGGGGCAGTGTATTTCATTTTTTTTAGCACTATCTTTAGATGGTAAAGTTAGAGTTTCTGAAAATTTTACTTCCCTGGGGTTTGATCAAGCTGACTACCTCTAATGCTGAGGAACTGTACATTTACTATTCTACAAAGCAGCCAAGAATCCTTCAGTAGAGAGCTTTCAGGACAAAGCCTGATGTTCCCTGTAATCGGTACTCTTTGGCTGGACACCGAGACTAGACCAGGGCCCCCCTCTCTGATGTTATCAAAGAATTTTCTCTCCCTCCTACCCAATGCCATCTGTACAGCTGCCTGGAAAAGAAACACATTACAAAGAAGACTGATAAAAGGACAACTGGGACATAAAAGTGTTATAAGACCTGAATAAGCAGAGGTTGAAAATGAAGGGAGGAAAAATACTGATTAGCTCATCAAGGAGGAAGGTACCTAGTGGAAAAAAAGAACTAGAGCATCCAGTGCTCAAGTCTCATCTACTCTGGGGAGCAATTAGGATGCAGGGAGTACCAAAAGAGATATTTATGGGGATCATCAACCACATGTTCTGGTTTCTAATGATAAATGAAAAGGAATTTCAGTCTTAACTCTGACTCTGCACAGTGAAAGAGTATATTACCTCCATTAAACAATGGTGATGACTGATGAAATTACCAGCAGGAAGGATCAGCTGGGCTCCTTAATTTACTTTGGGCAACGTAAACTATCTCAAAGCTTACCAGTATTAGCTAACCTAATCTGATTGAATTTGCAGCAATTGATTAGAACAAGCTCTGATAATTCTGTGCCAGAGAAACAAGAGGTACCAAGTATTTGGGTGTGACATTAATTTTCAGCAGCACAGCCAAGATCAGGAAATCATCCACAGTCCACACATTCCACTTCACAGTCCAACAGTGTTCACAGATATTTAAGTCTGCAAAACTCTACACTCAGTACTGCAAGAAAGAACGCTCTTCTGCAGATTTCCTTGAAACCAAACAAATATGGTTTAATCATGCAGAAAAATCTTATTTTCTCCCAAGAGGATTTTTTTTTTTTAAGCTACACTAAGTCAATTTTAACAATGAATTCTTCCTGGAAAGAAGGAAAATAGCAGGCAACATATTTTCAAGTTCCCAAAACAGCCACTGATAGTCTAACCTTTGAAGACAGGTATTTTTCTGTTATGCTCTCTCTTACATTAGAACTTGGAATATTGCAAGTCCAAAACTGTAAGTGGAATTTCATTCAGTCAGAAATTCATCCACCCTAGCACATGGGATGCTATTAGAAGAAGTATCTACGTCACGTATTTGTCAGAAGACAAAGTCATAATGGTTCCTTTTCGTCCTAAGATGTATGAATCTGCACTGTGCAAGAGATTTAAAATCAATATTTACTAGCACTACTAAAACACAAAACATTCAAGTAGTATATAACTGTAATGCAAGCCCTTGCATGGCAATCCAAATTTATTGAACTACTGATGCTAAGTCATACAAAATTGCACCACTTTAATTAAGGCTTTTAGTTTACATTTGGCCACCTCAAAGCAGTTGTAACATTAGGTTGGTCAATTTAAATACTGTGGCTCCCTGTTGGATATACACACAATCTTTACACCCAAACGTTAATGCATACAAAGCAACAAGGCATTGTTAAATAAATCAGCAAAAGTTAATTACTGCAACTTAGGCCCTGTGACCAATTACACATGATTAAAATTACTTCCCACATTCACATCCACAGTACTCTTCCACCATTTAACATCTCAACCAAAACGTTACACATGTAAAACAATCACTAACAGGCAAAAGTACTAAACCTGTATATTTGGTATTGCAAATACACTTAATGCATGAGCAAGCAAGGGAATTCACAGTGAGAATCTACAGCTGCAGAAGCCCGAAAATGATTTACAAAAAATTGTTAAATCATTAAAAAATCGTTTTAAAATATACACTTCTTGTTGTAGACCCCCACTGTACACACAACTATAAACATTGTTCCCTATGTAAACAAGGAAAAGGAAACATACAATAAAAGGTTGAAAAGTCTGGACATTTCCTTCCCAACAGATATTAAAGGCCATGTCTTTAGTCAGACGTTATACTGAAAGGACTCTTAAAGACTAGATCACTGTCTCCACAGGTTTTTCCTAAAATTAAAAAACTATATAGCTGTTGTGTTAATCAAAGCGCTTTTGTACAATACGATGATGATGATCCTGTATTTCTTTAAAAAAGTTACAATAAGCTACAAATACCGATGAAGCAAAGTTATCTGGAGTAGTCTATATAGGAGCTCTTTGGACTTTCTTTTATTATGCTAAAATAGTGGTGCTTTTAGGATTTACATTATTGTACTCTCCAATAGAAAGTGGGGATTGTTGAAGTATACAGTACACAGTTTTCATACATGTACAACATTGGTGGATGAACAATGTCTCTTATCAGTAATACTGGATGTAGGCTCTGGTTTTACCAGTTGCATACACTTAGAATATTTATAAGTAAAAATCTCTCATGACACTGGAAAGTGATTAGAATGTGCAAACTGATGTAGTAGCTTTCATCCATTTCTTAAAGGGTACCACCACAGGAAAGTCCATTTAAGATGTTGGTAGGTTTAATAAAGTTGGAATGCTGGCACTGTTGAATTGGGCAACAGTTCTTCAGACCTGTAACAACAAAACAAGAGGTTCGTATTAGTAACAATTATTTGTCATTGCTCTTTAACTTAAAAACAACTAAAGCAGGAATTAGGGAAGTTCTTAGCAAATAGACTTAGAAAACAACCTTAGCACTTCTCCTCTACTAGTATAATTTCTACTGTACACATACAAATAACAGACTGTCTCAATTAGTAAAACTGATTTGGGATACATATGGCAATCCAAGCTGAACTGTGGTAGTAGTATTTGATGGGTGGGACTAGTTTTGCTTACAGTATGACAGTTCCAGTGGCTTTAAAAACAAACACACATTTGGAGGATCAAAGCTCCTGAACCAAAAGCCCTGTTAAGGAAATGGGGCAGCCATTTCTGCCATCCTCAGTTAATGCTTTTGGAACCCTCTCAGGTTTACTTTGAACTGGTTCAAGTTGTTCAAATTAAGTAAGTTTTAATATTGATACCAAAAAGAGTTAAACATGCCACTATCTGAATATTAATAAAAGCCTGCAATTTATGACAGTGAAATGTCCTACCGGGATCCTCCAGTATATCAAATAGGTCTATCAGATGACAAAATAATGGATCATAGCACTGAAGCAAACGAACCACCATATGTCCAGTAAAATTGAAGGGAATCGAGATGAACAGGCAACTTGCATGATGTCAGGTCAATCAAGAGAGACCTCTGCCCATACTAAGGCCTGGAGGTGGAAAGAAGGAAACAACCTGCCCAAGAACAAGTTGCAGAAGAAAATTCATGCCTGCTGACTAACTTCTGAAAAGGCTTACTTAAAGAGCAGGCTGGAGCTTGCTTGAGCCTTCAGCAGCATTCTTAAAGCATGGATTTAGTCATGTAGAACATTAGCCAACTGCCAACGAGCAAGAAATTGATCTAGTCACCAATAGCTCGAGGTCAAATATTTGGAGTGTTACAATGATCACCATTCTCTTCCAAAGGTACTAATTACAATGCAGCCTATAAAATATCCATATAGTCCAAAGAAAGCAAGCTAAATTCCTATGGCATCATGCAAATATATCCAGGAGTTCAAAGCAGGAAGTGACATTTTAACATGCAAACTGCAATATTTTACAGTGTGCATTCCTGATAATTGAGGTCTTGCAGGATATTCTAATAAGCCTTTAAAAAAAGAAAACCCTGTTTCCAAAAGCTAAATTTTTGAAGTATCAGAATGAACATTGTTAATTTGAGCTCTACCAACACCTTAAAGCTTGAAAAAAAATTGATACTAGCATGAACAGTGTGTCTTGCATATATTTGCAGTTCTGACTTTGGAATGGCAAAATAAAGACCATAAAAATCTCTATGATAATGTAAATCAAGAGTTTTCAATGCTGTTCTGCATCAACAGCTACCACAGTTTAGGGTTTTCTGTCATTGTTGTTTTGTTTGTTTTTAATAGCCATAATACACAGAAAATTTTAAAAGGTTTACCTGGCTCAGAGCTACAGTACAGCTATGTATTAAAGTAGCTGACATGATGACTTTTTGCGTGCTTTTCCAGGCACTGGAGTTTTTCTGTTAATTTGTCGCACAAGGTCGTAAAAGATCTAAGAATATAAAAACCAGTTGGTTATTGGAATTAAGAGGCTTCTCTCATAACCTTAAGCCTCGAATCTTCACACATAATGTACTCACATACTCAAGAACCCCTGTAAATATTTAGTTATCAGAAAGCCAGAAAGTGAAATTGTATACTTAATTAATACCTGGGGGTTTTTACTGTTTAAGATAATTGTCTGCTAAGGGTTTTTCACTTTCAGTGAAGCAAACTGGAAAGGCATCTATAATCTGCAGCTATTTAACCTCTGGGTCAAATTTATCTAATATATGGCATGATATATGCCACAGTGATCAACTACTATATGCTATTACTTTGCAATTTAGCACTGAGGTCAAGAAACAGGCCACAGCTTTCTTCTAACTCAAATCACTCTAAGGATATTCTTTTAAAGAAAGTTCTAGTAAGTTTTAACTAAACATTTTCATGGTAACTTGAGTACACTGCATATTCAGTAATAGTCTCTTGTATCTGAATGAGATCATGCTTTTCCAGATACTTTAAAAATACTGAAGTCTAGACAATTAATTCAGCAGCCTCTCCAGGACTACAGCATGACATAAGCGTAACATTTCCTAGAAAAGTAACTCATGTATGAGACACTCTCACACTTTGAGTCTCCTAGAATTCTAATTAGAACATGATTTTGTTGAAAGGCTAATTTAAGATGAGTCTACATACTACAATTAAACAGCATCTGTTTCGTTCATAATCGATACAGTTGTAATTATTTCTGCATCTCCTAAATCAAGGAAGTCCTCGTACTAAAGCCATCCTAGAAGTTTCCTAAGCACTGGCTGCAAAGCAGCAAACATTCCAACAAGGGCTTTTAGTATTTGATGGAAGTAAGTTGTAGTTTATTAAACATATGACTTTTATATAGTTAAGCCGATTAATTTGTATTTAAGAAAAACTGAATAGTTTCCAGAAATTCTCAGCTAATTAAACGCACATTGCTTATTTTTAAAATCAGCTGTGCTTAAAACCACCATACTCTTTTGATTACATGCAAGTCTTGCACAGAGGGCCTTTCAACTTGACTGATGCTGCCAGCAATGTTTTCCAGAAGACACAATGAACTGGAGGGTTTATCATAAAATTCAAGCTGTTCCAGAAATGCAAATGTTAACACATTTTTTCTCTAAGAATTTCTGCATCCCTTTATGCTGCTGCCCCCACTGGATAAGGCGGCATGTGCTATGGCAAGTCCCAAAAATGCACGTGTTTGATCAGTCACCTAGCTCCTGCTAAACAAGTAAGTAGCTAGATAGTAAAGAGGCTTTTGCCCCCGTTTTTCTTTACAGAACTGCTAATTTTGACAAAACCCGTAGGAGTTTTTGTTCTTATCTCAAATAATTTAATACCAAATAACTTAAATCAAATAGTTTTAAGGACTTAACTCAAAAGGTCTTTATTTATCCCAAATTCATATGAATATATTTGAAAACTAATTATACTATAATTTATATAATTTGAAAAAGTCCCAAGTCAAAGCTAAATACATCCCTTAATATAAACATCTCACAAATTCTCACAATAGTAGGGTACAGTTTTGTCCACTGTAGTAACATTACTCATAATTTTCTTAGTTTTTCCTTGTCAGATGGTAATTTGGTTACCAGAAGTGTCCCATCCTTCTCTCCCTGCCACTTCCCTACCCCCCCCCCCCCCCTAGGAAATGGGCCTTCCCTCCTTACCATTTATTTTTGTTTTTGCAGAAGACTCTAAGAATGCACAGTTATTCCATTGCCTTGCTAGGTTCTGACCTTGTTCCTTTCCCACAACTCTTTCATCTTCCAAGTCACACTTATTGCCAACCAGAATCATAGGCACCTAAAAACAAATTTAATACCAGCAAAGAAATCACTAAAATTTTGGGAAGGCACAATGTAAATGCACACCTAAAACCCTATCTGAATCCCTAGAGCATCCTGACTTACAGAATAATCAAGCTCTGGTATAACTGAAACTTAAGTTTACAGCTGTGCGATACCTTGATCTTCATATCAAAGTGACTGTATTTTTTTGCCTGCTGTTTGGCAGGGTAGTAGGAGGAATGGTTTGAGGATTCAGTACACTGCCAATGGAGCAAACTTTGCATCTTCTAGATGACCTAATGAGATTTCATTTTTAGATGTTTAAGGCATCAAGAAGTCTACTGAAGAATCTGCTACAAGATTTTTAATGTTCAGAAATCCTGGAAAAAGTGGGCTGTACTCAGTAGTGTGATGAAGGACACTAAAGCTCCTTTACCATTCCTCTACTTCCAGCATATCTCCACTCCTTTCAAGAGCAGTTCGCTCACATAGTTCTTATTAGTAAGCTGATGCACAGAGAGGAAAGAAACATGGTATCTTATCAAAATTACGAACTACAAAAAACGCTGAACTGACCTTTGCAGCAAGAAAAGGCAATCATACAAAGTTGGTTTTGTTTGTTTGTTCTTCCCCTTCCTTTTACTAATTTAAGGACATAGCTAAGTTTCTCTCAAATTCAAGTGTTGAAAGAAAGGGTTACAATATTTTGATCATTTAATTTCTCCCCACTGAGAATGCAAATCATGCTCAAGCTTTGGCATAGGAAAAACTTTACGTAAATTTTGGTGAGAACTAAAGTTGCAACTTAAAGCTCATTATCTTTCTCCTGATACTATGGAATGGCTTTCAAGACTGAGAGGAGTGTTCTAAAAAGAAATACAATTCCAAGGAAATACTACCAAAATACTGCCAAAGAAAGGTTATGCTAGTCAGCATAAATATACCATGTAAACTAAGGTTTCAAATATCATCACACTTATCTTGATTTTAGTGTACAAAATTAAATTGATGCTAAACAAGGCTATAACTTGGTAGGTTCTGAATGGGAAAGGTACATGCAATTTAAATACTACCATTTTGAGACACATTTGTGATAATGGGTAATAAATCACAGCAGAAGAAATCTGCTGAACATAGACAAGACCTGCAAATGCTTACGGTTAAGAAAGTACAAGGTGGTTTGTATTACAAAAGTCACAGTGAGCTTTCCTGAAATTGAAGCATTTAATACATTCTGTGTCTGCTGACAGCGGAAGTGTATGTGGATACATACAGCAAGGAAGGTATCAAAGTTTCCATGAGCACAGTTTAAATGAGAAGAGCACACTTAAAAACTGTTCATTGCTTGCTTTTTTTTTTTTTTTCCAAGGAATTTTTTCCTGCCTGATGGCTACAACTTACGAGGTGTTTCTGTTAAAAACACGCTCTTCTGCTGTTTCACATTTGAAATAACCTTTCTTACTTTTATTAAGGGACTGAGTATTCACTTCCTACAACCGTAGTAAGTTTTTTAAAATCAATTATAAACTGGAATGTTTTAGCCTCCTTTATCGCTTTAATAACGCTGAGAGGTGTGTATTGAAATTGTGTGGAAATAGCATGACCAAACTTACTTGCAAGCACAAACACACAAAATATAAAAGCTATGTAACATGCACGTTTAAAGCTTACAGTACTGTCTTTTGCAAGAACTTAGAATTTTGTCCTTTTCAAATACCATACTGAAGAGAAAACTTAAACTGTAGGTTTTTTTTAAACCTTCATTGGTAGCAACTGAGGTAAGAATAGAGTTGCCTTAGAAATGTTTTCTGCAGTACTAGTGAATAAGGTTATATACAGTTTCAAATAAGAGTATTTTAAAGGAAGAGATTAAAAAGACAATTCGCTACATGCCACATGACAAGTTACAATTTCTCCAGTTTGCCTTAAAAGTTGCATTTTTGTACTATGCATCTACCGGTTGATATGTCTCAATTTAAAGCTTGGAAGCTATCTGATCACAGTGTATACATTACAACATCTGTATGAAAACTCTAAATATAAGTATTAAGCATTTTTAGAGATGCTTACATCATCAGTGTCTTTGACTCGAAGAATCTGTTCTCTTAGATCCTGTAAATCATTAAACGTGGACTGTGCTGTGATGGAATATACTAATGCAAAACCTTGTCCATTTTTCATGTATAGGTCTCTCATTGCTGTAAACTGTTCCTGTAATTAAAAAGTAGATACAGATATTGGATTCAATTTGCGCTTTCCTTGCACAAACTGCTATACAGTTCAGGTCACAAATGGATCACAAGTATGATGCATTTGTGCCCCCTCCCCCCCCTTTAAATTGAACAATATTTTACTGTTTGACTATAAGCATTATAGTAAACTGAACTGCTTTTAAAGAAATCTGAAGTTTGGAACATTATCTGGGGTGGCTGAGCAACATCTAGATATTGCCAAGGGCTACACCCTGGGAAAAAGTGACAAACTAGAGTAATTTCATGAGAGAAGAGGTACAGTAGAAGGTAAAGTGTAATCTGTAGATTACAGAAGTTACATTCCTCCCCAGTCACTCCTTACGTGCCAACTTTTTCCCACCTCCTGATTGTTCTTTAAAATGCATTGTAAAGTAAATGCATCCCTTTTCAGCCTCCATTTTGTCGTCTATGTTAAATTCTACTTTAATTTTCAAGGAGATTGGCTAGAGGATAGAGACACTCAATAGACTTGTCACATTTCCTAAGCTTTGGTGACAACTACAATATTGCATATGAAGACTTGCTGGTGCACTGCACAGCAGCATTAGGACTTCTCCCTCTTTGAAAACTCTAATGAGTATGACTGTGGAATAGCATTTGCCTTTCTCACATCGGTGACTCCAGCTATCTTGTGCCTGATCAATCACTCACCAAGTCCCTTGCTATATGTCAGTGAAAAGCACAATTTATTTTGAGAGAACAGCCACTCCATCTTTCTGTAGATTTACATGGCCTTACTCTAATACGGAGTTTAAATAAGTTATTATTGGACCACATTAGTATTACAGTTCAGAGAACACATGTTACACTCCAAGGGTCTTGAGCGTATGCTCACTGGAATCAATGAAGGAAATGACTGGTTTCAGTAATTTTGGAACTAGTCAGAGAAAAACCTGACCAGTATGCAAAGGGTCAGCATAAACCCTGTGCTTTGAGTTCCCCTAAGCTGACTAAAGCGATACTATTTTTATCCCAATGTCAGAGTACATCTCGCACACAAAAGAAAAAGGGAAGAAGAAAGCACGTATTCTCTACAGCAACAGAAATCAAACCTGAGTAACCATCGGGCCTAAATTCTCCTCTAGGCAATATGAACTTAGAACAGCAGCACAATCTTTTTTAAAATGCTCAATCTCATGTTTCCCCTATTACAGAACATGAACTCACAGGAAACTTGTAAGTAATTTTCTGCTGCTATACTCAAGTTTTGTTTAAATACTAGTATGTTAAAGAACATCCTTTAATCCAATGCACTGACCACAACTACTCTTTAACGAATGAGGAAGGAAACATGTCACCATTTACATCCCTACATCTTTTGATGGTTTTAATACTGTACATCAGTACTTAGGAAAGTTGGGTTTTACATACCGTTCCTGCAGTATCTAAGATTTCAAGCATACACTGTTGTGCATCTACTTCAACTTGCTGTCAAGAGAGAACAATGTGGTTAGAATTTTTCCTCTTGCAACTCTCCCCTCCAAAGACACCAGGAATTGCGTGATTTTTATAAGCAAATTCATAATGCATAAAGCAACATAATGGCTTAGGAAGTTTATATGGATATATACTTTGAAAACAGCAGGAAGAAGCCTTTCAAAGAGCCCTAGTGACATTTTCAAAAGCAGTATCAGCAGCCAAGTACCACTTTGCAAAGTGATTAGGGATTTTTGATTATTAAAAAGGAGGCTGCTAAATTTGTAATGATGGTTATCAGCAACTACCACAACTAATTTCTACTTGTTTCAGGGATCATTCACAGATTGAAAGAAAAAGTACAGGTGAAAGCTAGAAAGTTGGATTGGCATATTAATGCTCATTTGATAGTAATTTAGATCAACAAGATAATAAGTAGTAAACAGCAAACAATAAAACAAGCAAACCATTAACAGTGGTGTCCCCTAAACAAGCCTTTAGCGACACTAATCAGGAAACTGATCCAGCTTAGAGAAATTTTCAAAAAATTGAAGGTTTAAGAAGGTAGATCAATTTCTGTATCTATTTCAGAGTTCCTCTGTCTAGTTTCTACCTCAAAAAAAAAAAAAAAAAAAAAGTAGCTGTGAGGGCAAAGGATATGGACATGCCTTCAAGCAGGCTAACCCC